TTGTTCTCAAGTGTAGCAGTTTTCCACACCTCATACGGCAGGTGTCTTCCTTCTTAACAACTTCCTCAAAACTCCCCCCACTCCTCTTTTTACTCATGACGTATTTTATTTAATAATAATAATAATAATAATAAAATGAATGAATAAAAGCATTTTATCTCTTCAATGGCGGGACATGAACACAGGTTTATCATTAAACGTGTTACTCATTCATTGGACTAATTCCATATTGTCGGTGTCTATTACAGAAAAGGTTTCGGTGCGATAGGAGCAGATTACATTGCTGTTATTCATGTAAAAATACTTTTATGGCGGCCATTTAACTTAACCCCAACATGCGATTCGTGATGTATGATCCTCACGAATGGGGATTTAATGTTCATTCAGGTTAAAAGCGTTTGGGGATAGTTATCAAGCCCACTATTGAAGTTTATTAGAGTTTGAGACGTTTCCAATTGTCAAATGGGATTATTTTTATTATATTTTCTTCTTCATCATGTCGAAAAATGGCTTTAGAATTAAATTGAACATAAAATGTGAATATTATAACCTTTAACCAAAAACTTATTTGATATTACTTCAATATCACAAATGTCTCTGAGAATGGATAAGCGCCCGAAATTTCGCAAATATAATATAACATAAAAAAAGACCGTGAAAATTAATTTATCCCTAATAATTTTAATACATTACTAAAAAATAACAACCTTTTTTTATTTTCCTCATATTTTATATATATGATGCCATATAGAAAAAAAAAATCAGAAAAAGAGTATTAAAAATATTCTAGCAGAAAACTGATGAATCTATCAAAATAAAGAAATTTATAAATAATATAAATATATATCAGTTTTCTGGCAATATTTCTTCGCAAAACCCAAAAACTTTCTTGATTTATTTACTGCTTGTCTCTATGTACATTTTTTAAACATAAGACCCCACCCCGAAAACCCATATATTCCCTCTCATAGAACTGTTTACTTTAAAAAAATATTATTTCTCCGTCTCATCAGCTATAAATTTTCCAAATTTATATTTAAAAATTATATCTCATGAAACTCTTAATATTATATTTCAAAAGCGTATGTTAATTGTATATCATTATTGCATTTTAATTCATTCCAATATATGATAGCGTTTTTATGCCATATTAGTTCATTTCACAATCCATAAAAGTTATGATCATTCATAAATTTTAAAATTAATTACGATGATATACATGTTTGTCTTTTTAATTTTTTGGTTATATATATATATTACTGCACAAGTTTATTTCTTTTTTTATTGAGTATTTCTGTCTTCTTGTTATGACAAAAAACTATAACTATAGAGATATTACTGAACATTTTATATAGAAGAAACCTAACTAAGCCCTAATGAAAGAATATAAGAGTTGAATGCAAAAGTATATTGGTTATATCAATTCTTTACATATAGTAACTAAAATTGTCGGGTGTTAATAACTGTTTTACCTTAACTTTTTTTTCAAAAATACGATTTTTTTTTACCAGGCTTGGTCTTGGTGTTGCAAGAATTAGCCGATCTTGGTCTTGGTATGAAAAGTGCAAGACTAATTTTAGTGTTGCCGCCATAATTTTACTGTTATTATTTATATTGCCTACATTTATCTACGATTTAATTACTTTTATTAGTTTGCTTATGTTTGTCTTTTATTTTAATTTCGACGTTTCATAAGTTAGTAATTTAATTATTTCTTGCTTGCCATTTTCAATATCCTTAGGAAATTAAATGTTTCAAAAAAAAATTTATTTTTCTATTTTTCTAGAATGTATTTTAGCCTATATACAGCAAATGGCGCAGACTAGCTCTTAAACAAGGCAGTTATAATTTCAAAAACGCCTAGTCGGTAAAATACCGTTAGCAAACTCAAGCGAACTAGCTATCCTAATAAACGGAGCATGAGAGGTGGGAAGCACTCGAGAAATCCGTTAGTTGATCGCTAAATGGGTACGCGATTCACTTGTCGTTGCGGATCTGGCGTTTAGCTGCTCAGGGAGCCGTGAACCGAAGGGGTCGCTACGGTTTAACCCCCGGTTCACACAGACTGGGGGCAAGGGGTTCAAAAAGTCCCAGGGCGAAGGCCCCCTTTTTTTGGCAAAAAAAGTGCGCGAGTCTGTTTTTTCAGCGTATATTAGCCGCAGGAGTCCTATTGTGCTTAGACAAAGCTGCGAGCTCGAATTGATCTCGAGGGGGGTTAAAAGCCATATCGTCGTGTGTGTACTGTCATCGGCAACCCTCATTTATCTAATAGTTCTCTTCTTTTCCTTTATTTCGTATCTTTTTTTGCCCTTTCATTTCCGTTAAAGAGTTCTTCTTCTCTTCTTTTTTTGTCTATTTTTTGGGGAGAAATATGAAGAAAGGATGGACCAGCCAATAAAGCTTTTGTGGGAATTTCACGGAGGCTCAAGTATGTCCCGAGCGTTATCACTTCATCTTTCCACCTAATCGAATTCTTTTAGGACCAATTTAATAATGTATTATTGTTTTATTACCTCATTCTGTATAATTTGATAATAATTATAATTTGTATTAAATATTAATACAATCTGCCACACTCAAGGGTAATAAGCATTAGAGCTGAAAGTATTCACTCATACAATATATAAATATAAGATAAATAAATTAGGGTAATTAAAGAAAAAAATAAAAATAAAATTCTTCTTAAGCTCTTTCCTACCTATATAAAACATCTAACCGCGTCACTGACCTGGAAGCCAGTGGAGACTGGGAGAGAGCACTTCAGCTACAAACATTGAGTGGAGAAGCTGGCCAATGCCAGGACTCCAAATTATAATTAAATAAATAATTATAGTCAGTAAATATTTAAATTGTAAAAATGCGGCTAGATAATTCAATAATTAAACTTTTTATGAACATTAACAGATTAGTTAATAATAAACTAATTAAAGTTCAGAAATGTAAAAATATACTCATATATTTTTTATACAATATAAAATATTTTCTAGGCCGTAAATAGTATTAATATTGTTGGAGCTATATCATTGGAACATATAGTCTTTTATGAATTAAAGTATTTTAATATTAAGTAGAATACAGCTGAATGTAAACTGTTTGTTATATAAACGAAATATTTTATTTATGACAATTTTCAATGTTCTACTGATTAAATAAGATTTCTTGTTTTAAAATATTTAGTTTAGTTTTAATTATTGTTTAAATAACACAAAATATATTTTTCAAAATTTTTATAGATACCATGAATAATATAATGAAAAAGAATAAAATTTTAACATCCTTTCAGCAATAAATTGGAAAAAATATTATAAATGTTTATAATAGTGTAAATCGATTACAATAATTATTTCGATGTTTATAAAGGAAAAATAAAAAGTAGAAGAAATTGGCAAATATGCTCATTTTGCTCATGGATAGGACGGTACAATAAATTGTCAAAACGTGAAAATTTCGTTAATCTTGTGGTTTTTTTTGTATAATTTATCATCGAATTCAATATTTTTATTATTTCATTCTAAAGATTTGAAGTAACAATCATACGTATCCTACGGTAGGATAAGATATGCATTTCAACTTTTATCTTTCTGTATAAACAAAAAAAAAAATAAAGAAAAAAAACGAAACAAACAAGGTCTTATCGAAACAAATGTCCCGCCCACTGACAGGGCTGCCAACATCTTAATTACAACTGCAAATATTTTATTTATTTGGCTATATCTCTTGTCCAAAGGATAAGAATGAATATTCTCTTCGAAGAGTTCCTTCTTTTGCGATTTCGATACATCGATAAAAAAAGGCGGGAAAAGTGACCACAAATGGCCGACAGGAAATGCGACCATCTGCCGCCGGCGGGAAAACGTTCTTCCCGCCAATACTTGCACCGAGCAATTTGTCTAATGGGCAACTCGCCAGATTTATATGGGCCATTTCGCCAACCTCTTTGGAATCTTATTGACAGGTTCACACAGAACCTCCTTGTAACGTCATTATATTCTGTTTCTTATTTCGTCATTAAGGTTCTCTCTCCGATACTGCTATTAAAACAAAGGTGCTTAAGCTTTATTAGCTATTCGATACTTAAGATGGAGGAAGGGGGGAGAAAACATCGAAATTAATATCGAGCATGGGAATCGAATAAATTGATTAAATCGATACTACATAATTTCTAAAGTCTCACCAGGTACTTTGAGAAATCGTATGATTAAAGTATCACTCATTTCACACTTACTTATTTCACAGTTATGCTGAAGTTATATTACTCTGCTTTATTCGAACGTAACAAGATATACACTTACAGTCCTTTATTATTTAAGCACATCCATTTCAAAAAGAAATCAAGAACTCACTTAATTTTAAACGTAAAGCAATTTTTTTTTTTTTCAAAATTTAAGTTACAAATTTACTTATAATATTTGTTTTCATGATTAAGGACAGTTCATTTTAGCTCAAGCTTTCAATTTTTTCACTCATTTCTATTTTCAGTTCTTCTGTCCATTTCCTTTCTTTCTTTATCCTGTTTTTTACCCCCAAGGATCTTCACCTTGTTCACTGTTCTCCATGAATTTATCCCTATCTAGATATTAGTCTTTTTTTATCCAAAGTCGTACTATTTCTTCCATGATCTATTCAGGGTATCCTTTGATGTTCTTCAGTCACATTACTTTGTCAAATATCTGTTTGTTTATCCTGCCTTTATTCATTATTTTGAAGTCTATATTATACACCATCTTCTTCTCGGTTTTCATTAGTATTTCGGCACTGGTAAATAGTGTCTTATCTTTGCTTTTTTGGATTTTTTACTGGAGTTTTTAACTGGATACCTTAGTCTGTCTAACTTCACTTCTTGTTCCTAGTTATTTGGACTGTTTTACAGTTTTGATATGCCCGTATTTAGTTATAATTTTCTTATTAATTTGAACGTTCTAATTTGTTATTAATATAATTGTTTTAATAATTATAGCATTTATTTTTTTTTTAATGTTCTATTTTTTTTTTTGTTTCAGGGAAGATCCTGGAAAGTCTTCGACGTGGACCTACAGGTCCTCGAAGTCCAGGAGCTTCGCAACCACCTACTCCCCCAAGAAGTCCCTTAAGTCCAGCTAAGTTGAAGTCCTCTGAACAAACTCCACAACAATCCAAATCCCAAAATACATCGCAGCAGTCGAACAACTTCACGGCTCCAAGGGTAAGCATTTGATTATTTTATATATCATTTAATTATTTTTTTAACATTAAAAAATCCTTAATATTTTTTTATGATTTTCGAACCCTTCTTTAAATATATTAAAATTTAAAAAAAATCATTATATATATATTTAAAAATGATATGTCTTAACACAGAAAACTGTTAGGGGAAAAAAAAATATTTATTTTGACCGTATTGAAGACTAAGCAGATATTTGTGCTGGATTTCCCAATAACAATTGCTAACCTAAATAAGAAAGGTCTCCTTATCTAGAAAAAACATAGTACCGAGAAATATTCCATATCAATTCCATTGAATAATAAAAGTATTTCAATACTGTATTTCCAAAAATAATTTAAGACAGATGTAGTTATAGATTTTTCTGTGCAATAAATATATTTAGATAGCTTATCGTAACCTAAAATTTATTTGTACATTTTACTTTTGTGAAAATAATGTATGAAGCACCGTATTTTTTTAAATATGCCTAATTTTTTTTATTGTTTTTTAACGGTAAGTGCTCTGAAATAAAAAGAAGGAAACTATAAAAAATTATGTTTAAGTAATCCTTCAAGCAATAAAATTTTTATCAAATTTTATTTGATATCTGGAAGATCTCTGGATATATCTTTGCCAGTTTTGAAACGATATTCTAAAAACAATAGCACCATTTTGTATTCAAATTTTTCGTTTGTTTTTTTCTCCTTTCTTTTCATGGAGCGCTGAGAATTTTGTTTTTTTTATTTAGGTGAAAGTAGAAGTGGAAAAATTGTAAAGCATACACAATTACACTTGGTGTGTCTGTTCTATATTTTTTTCCCTTCAAATTGAATTATATAAAAAATATCGTTCCTTCAGAAAAAAAAAATTAAAAAGTGCTCCTGTTAAAAATCTTCATGGCGCAACTTGCGCCATTCGACCTCCTTCTGATGCCATTTGTGTGAAGTAAAGATATCAAATTACATTCATGAAAGTATCATGTATGTAAATTCACATGTTTGAGAGAACATGTTCCGATTCCGCGAATCTCAGGCGAATCATGCCACATTATTTACATGTAAATGATCCCAGCAGTGTTTTACAAAGTTTACGAACGAAGTAATGCGATAATTCTCACCAGGATCGGAGACGATTGGATAGCTAATATCGTAATTCCAATCGGGAAAGAAGTCGACGTAAGGTAAATATCTGGGTTTATTAGCGCATTTCGGTGCAAGGAAGAAGTTGCATTCGGCCAAGGGAAATAAAATGCAAGATTTTAGGACGTCGACCGGTTTCTTTTTCGAGGTAATTGTATTCAATTACGATTTCAGAGTTTCTTGAATAAGTATCTGTTCATAAAGGGTATTTTTTTTTCCAATTTATGCTTGAGAAATATCTTGTTTGCATCCGTGTAATTAACAAAAAAACAAAAAAAAAAATCTGTTTTTCGACTTTTACAATATAGTATATTCTAACTCAGTTTGAAAAAAATATTTTCCCATGATATCAAGGAAAACAATTAAAATTTATATTATCACAGAATGCTATAACCTTAAAAACTGTTTGACCTTAAAATGTAAATTTTTTTTCTATAATAATAGTTTCACCTACTTTTAATCTTTATTTTTACCTCTGCAAAATACCTATAGTATGAGTCGATACATTTGGTATTTATCCTTCTCGATTTTTTTAATATTACTATTTTCTATTTGGTTAAATATTTTATTAAAAGGATGATAATACCATAAGAGCCAAGCTATCTTGCCCAATTGCTCAAGCAAAGGAATTCCTTCTTTGAGAGGTTAAACTGTTATTCACAGAGCGTAAGTGGTTTATAGAAAGAAGGAACAAGAAAAGGCCACTTGGTCTAATATCAGGGAACTAACCCCCATCGAGCTGGTCCATTCCCATAACTCTTCCAACCTTTTATATATATATAAATATATATATATATAAATATATATATATATATATATATATATATATATAAATATATATATATATATATATATATATATATATATTATATATATATATATATATATATATATATATATATATATATATATATAATAAATTCGTACAAAAAATATATATTGTTTGATTCAATTTTATATAAAATTGAACAGAAAGATAAACTTTAATCTGGGACAAAGACCTCTAAGAATAACGATAAAAAAAAATAATAAAAATACACATCTGGCCAAAATCTTACTTAATCAAAATTCTAACAATATACAGGCTATCTCAATTCTTATTGGCGAAACTTTTGAGGTGGTTCTTGAAAACAATTCCAACAAAATGTTTATTTGAAGCATAGGCCGATTCCGAAAGGAAAATGAGTTGAAGACAACTTTGTGTTTTTTTTAAGATGGGAACGTTTTTTATTTAATACGAAAAAATTGCTCAAAAACTGTTCCAGATAATACATTCTAAGTAGACCATCATAAAGTAGATAGCATTTTGATCAATGATAAAAATACCCACAATTAATCATTGTTTTTTTTTTAAAGAAAATGTTGTCTACTTTACGATGGTGTCTACAGAATTTAGTTTTTTGAATATTTGTGAGTAATTTCTTCTTATTCTAATAAAAATACGTGAACACCTTAAAACAAAAAAATAATTGGTCTTAACTTTTTTCTTTTCGGAATCGGCCCTTGCATCAAATGAACTTTTTTGTTGAAAATTTTGTCTAAAATAATCCCTCAGAGTTTGGGTATTAAGAACTGAAACACCTTATAAATATACAGATATATACATTAATTTTTTATTTTAAAAACATAAACATTAGGCTAACTTTGTAAAAAATAACTTAATTGCAGCGAATATATAGCTATTTTTTAATGTAACAAGTTTTCTGGTCAGTTGTTATTCTTTTTTTGTCTGCAATATTCTGTTATTCATAAGGGACTTCGTCCCAGAATAAAGTTCTATTCTATTCTAAATAAAAATTCTAACAATACACCAGTAATTTTTTTTTTTGTTACTTGATTTTTTTATTCACACCTGTCATAAGTATCAGCGATTCTGCTCCCGGAAAGATTATTTGTAGAGGTATAGTAATTTAAATAATAATATGTAAACACTAAAAAAATTATATGAATTATTTTAAGCTCAATCATATAATGATTTTATTTATTCCTAATATAATGAATAAACATATAAAACTAATATATCACTATAAATGTAGCGACAGTTCATCTCAAGCTTAAAAAAAAATGGTGTTGGAGCAAATTAATTCTATACCCTTCAGTTTAATTTACTTGTTGATTATATAGCTTTTTTGCCACCTTCCGAGTGTTAGGTCTTTTTCTTTTCTTTCTTAGCCTCCTCCTTTTTCTCCTTTCTTTTAACTCTCTTGAACCTAGTTTTTCTTCTTTTAGTTGGGACACAGCAAATAGCCTTTCGCTCTAATAACGTCTGCCGTTTTTACAGTTCGCGTAATTTGTATTCCTCTACTTCGAGGGTTTGATACAATTAAATTCAATTTTATTTCCATTAATTTCTATCTTTTTTTTTTCTCTTACAAGTTTGTACTTTATTACTCTCTTGAAAAAAAAAAAGTAATAAAGTGAACGTGGTTGAACCTGTATGCAATTGATTGAAGTTTAATTTTAAAATTCTTCTCGTGAGAATCTTCAACTCGTCACAAGAAAAAAAAAAAAAAAAAGTTAGCCAAATTGAGTCAGTATAGCTTTCTCACCATTTTCATTGGGTACGTAATTGTCTATCTTTCAACTTCTATATTTTTTTTTCATTCTAAATTAAAACCAATGAGACCACACGTTTTCAAAAGATAAGCGTTTCAAGGAAAATACGTTTGAATATTTGTAGATTAACAACACTAGTCAGGATCTCTCTAGCTTTGAGCCAAATCGTACAATTCGAATCCGAAATACAATCAAGGAGTCAAAATACCTTTGCGCGTGCGTGAGAGAAAGTATAGGAATAAATTTGGTAATGACCGTTCAATACCTCAAATTTTCATCCAAATTTCATTAATAATAATAATAGGTTTAATTCCCTTAGTATGGATTTTACTATATGCAAACAGACAGAAATACAAATTTGTTCTTTTCTGTTCAAAATGGAGATGGGTATGTAGTTGACTGATCAATTATTATGAAATTGTCAGGAATTTCAGGGCTATCGTTTGGAAAAAGAACTCAAGTAGTTTTGGTCTAGACTCCCAAAAGATAGAGGGTCATCCTTAGGACCCTCTTATTGGGATCTAGAGTTACTGAATTTTACCAATAGGGTAACAGCCCAAGAGATCGACAATGATCGATTTACTCGATTTGAAAATAAGTCGACTTAAATAGTTTTAGCCAGACCAGAGAGATATAAATTGGATTTCCAACCTCCTCGAACTTCCAATATTCAATATAATATTCGGCGAACATTAGTAAATAAAAATATATGTTATAAATTATTTACAAATATTTAATTTAGTACATAACTGCTCCCATTGTGTCGAAGTCCCCTGCGACACAATTAGTCTGATGGCAGAGTTTCTCTTTGGATTTATGGCGACTGCTTGAAATTCAATTACGCATACCTCTAAGGGATCCCATATTTTCGGTCTTATGACACCCCGTGCCGCATAGATTAAGACAGATTCGCCTTGCGACAACTCCTCGTAGGTTGTTAATGGTACCCTAATTAGTTTGAGTTGCTAAACCGAAAACACATTCGGCAACACAATGCGAGCTATATCGGTTATGACGAAGTCTTGGCCTGGTATTCGCTATTTAGCATTCGCGGACCATCCGCGCCTTCGAAGAAAGTATAATCAGTGTGGACTTTCTAGCCCCCCCCCTCTAGGGGGGAATTTTAACTACTTTTTATAAATATTTTCAGACCCCCCCTAAAATGGTAACAGCATTTGATGGATGACAGGAACGAATTCCAGCTCAAGGCCGGTCGTACGAAGGATAGCAACTTGCGATTTTTGGTTCGCTCCATAAAAAGAAAAATGTTTGTTCAAATAACAATAAATTCCCATTATCAGATTT